GAATCGTTAAAACGAGCTGTATAGTTTTTATTCTTATGATTTCTATTTTTTGAAGGGCAGTTTTGTTGACATAATCCATTTTTATTTTTGGTTGTTTTATTTCGGATATTTAAAATATCTTATAATTTTAATATTTTTTCAAAATTAAAGTTTAATAGTCTGAAAGGACGAACTTGGATTAATACGCCGTTATCAATACATTGAAAAGTATTTTTTGCCTAGCGTATAGTAAATATCTTAGTACGCTGGGTATCTGACAAAGTTAACTTTTAAGTAAGATGTAAGAACTTGTTTTAAGTAAATAATTCTTTAATATTGATGAAAACGCATTAGTTATAAGTGAATTAATGTGTTAGGACCAAGCTGCTGTTCCCATGTTAAAATATCTGGAAAAGGAAAAGTCAGCCGAACAGCGATCTAAATCAGCCAGTTTTTCTGTTCATAAGCAGCTCAAAATATAAATTAGGAAAATCTGCCTTGATAAATTTTTGAGGATGTTATTTTAATTTCTGCAGGATTTAAAATGTCTGCCTCTATCAAAGAGCCCGGAGAATGTTTCTTTTTTCTCTCTCTTTTATGAGTCATTAGAGGAAAATAAGTGACTATTGGAAAACCAGAGCTGGACTCTCTCTTAATAAAATCTTTAAAACAGTAGATTTAGGCAACTTGGTCTTTTTCTGACTTACTTCACTACTTTCTTCTCATTAAGACATTTACATTAACTGTTTGTCTTCTCCATTTCCCTTCAGAATATCAGGTTTTAACTGGAAAAATTAAAGGATGGAGACAGACGAGTCAGGGGTCAACCGGTTCAGCGGCTGCGGACAGAAAGTGGAGCAGATGCCATTTTCCATGGCTTCATGCCAGCAGCGCCATCCTCAGACGCAGACCAGCCGCGTCAGCAGTAAATACAAGAATAAAACCTCTGAGTAGACAAGAAACAAGAGAGATGAGGAGCTGGAACACCCAGCTGGCACAGAATCAACTTCTCTCTCAAATTATTTATAAAACACAAACTGGTGTAAATATTTCTGGTGTAAATATTTTAGTACAACTTACAAGTAGCTTTTCAGCAAGATAAATGAGAAAGTACTTGTTAAACTGGTGGAACTATTTCTTTTTTTAAAATCAATGTTTAAGACTTATTGATTTAAAACAAGCTCTTATATTTTACTGCAGAAGTTATTTTTAGGTTAGTTTTGTCTTATTTCAAGTATACAAAGATATTTGTACTATACTGCAAAAACAGAAACTTTTACACATGAAATAAGATAAAACTAACTTACAAATAA